CTCCCAGGGTGCAAAGCTTGGCATTTTCTTTTAAGGAAGAAGTGGGTGAGGAGGAAACTTAGAATAGCCTGTTAAACTCAGTTAATTGATTGACAGCTGTTATGCAGCCAACTCTGTAGAACCATTTATGGGCACAAACCAGATCTGAGCCCTCTGATCTCAGCAAAGGACAACACGGAGCTTGGCATCTCCCATTATATTCTAGGTCACAGTGGCATTAATTCAATTATGACAGCCACTCTGTGCTCAAATGCAAGCCTGTGCTGTGATTGTGTGTAATGAAGAAAGTGAAAGATAGCCCCCCAACTCCTGTCTACACATCCATATCCATCTAGAAGCATGCCCTTAGCAGATTGATCTTAATTCTTAAGCTTTGAAGGCTGAATACTGAGATCCTCTTAGCCTGTTGGGCCTAATTAAAAGCATCAGGAATAGGAAATTCTTGAAGTCAGCAGCTCATGATTTATGCAAACTTCAGAGGAAAATATTATCCTGTGTTTGTATATTTTGTGAAAACAGTGTTGAAAAGCCAAAAACAAAAAAAAAATCACAGGTTAAAGAACAGAAAAGTTAAATACTTACAATTCCAGAGTCATGTCTTGGCTTTATTTTATAAAGTGACTTTCCCTTTTTCTGCCTACACACCTCTTCAGCTTCTTTCACTCTGAGTGGGAAGAAGACACATGTATATGAACAAAGGCCCATATAGACTACTGCAATCCACCTTACAGTCAGCGACCAAGCTCATTAAGGATTTCATATACTGGAGAAAATAATACCACATATACAGGGATGTTATCTGACATTTGATTTCAAAACATAGAATGTTAGAGCTAGAGGCAGATTCATCACGGGGTTCTTAACTTGGAATTGAAGGATGTAGAATGGAATAGGACACAAGCAGATAAATATTTTTATGCAGACATTTCATCTTACATTAAAGGACTCTTTAATATACGAGGGAAGTAAAGAAACGGCCCTCATTTTCAGGCGAGCATCCTGAGATTGGCTGTATTACATAAACAGAATTGGCACTATAACATAAATCAGAAACATTAAAACAATTAAATTAACAGCATCATATAAAAAAACTCGAATGCTTATTTAAACTGATTTCAGATTCACTTTCCGCATCACACTTCCTTATGCATGAAAGTCATTTGCAATGAATACTTGGGCAGTTTAAAAACTTGAACTTCATCAAGCATAGGAGCGAACCAATTAATTGAAAACAAAAAATAGAGAGTGAGCAATAATAACATTTTAATACTACTAGGGCTTCTTTTTAAACACACACTCCATGGAAAACAGTGTTGAATTTACCAGAGGTTGAGTTAAAAGAGGAAGTTATTTGATGATGAGTTCTGCATTAGTTCTGGCTTTGCTATTTGACACTGGGTAATGTCCTGATACTACTGACCCTTGTATTCTCGCAAATAGTAAGACTGTCTGATAATATATAATAGTATTGCTGTTACTACTACACAGAGTTGCTGCAAAGATCAAAAAAAAATTATTAAAAAAGTTCTTTATAAATTGTAAAATACTATAAAAAGTTATGCATCACTACAAACATAAGAAATCTGCAAACTGGATTTCTATTAACAAAAAGGGGTCTGATAAGAAGAAAAATAACCTATCAGTTAATTTATTTTGTTGTTATGATTCACCTAGGGAATAAAAAATGGAGTTATTTCTAGAAAGCCTAAAAAAGCCATGACTTATCTTGATGAAAGACTGTATATAGATCCTGAAGCATATTTCCTCAAAGAAATAAATTATAAATATATCTCTTGGGTCCTGTGGCAAACAATCTAATGAGAGAATTCACCTCTGATACAGCTGAATGAATCCTGTTTTTAAACAACGGAATGAAGCAAATAACCCCGTCCAGGGGCTGGAAGAAGGATGTTATCGTTTACTTTAAAGTATGACAAACGAAAGGAATCCCTTTTGGACACAAAATGCTTCTTGGGTTGTTATTGTTAGTAATTCCAGAAAATAATGAAAATTTAGAAGACACTCCATTGTTACCACTTTTATTACTTTCTCCCCAAGTCATAAATTGTCTTTAATCCTTCCTCCAAACATTTCAAGACAAAAATATTTTCTTTATAACAAACCAATGATTGCAGAGTCCCATCTTCCTCTGAAACAGCTACCAGTAAATTCAAGTTGAAGTATTTGGACAGGGAATTAAGGACACTTTTTTTCTTTAGCACTTATCCAAAATCTAGTAGATCTCTTCTCAAATTTACTTGGATTGCTTTAAAGCATTTTGTGATATTAAAAAAAACAACACACTTCACAAGTCTTTAGATTACCAAAGCATCTTAATTTTCTCGTTATCTTATTTATCTTGTTCTTAAAACACATTTTTGTAAAGATCACAGAAAGCCGAGTCTAATACACACATATTTAATTTTACACAAAAACAAATTCAGCCACTCCTTACGGCAGAGATGATGAAAACTAAAGAGAATGTGCGTCAACGAACGCTCACAGATCTTTGACCTCATCCATCCATTTGACAATCACTTATGGAACAGTAACTCCAGGCCAGGCACTGGGATTGGCACATTTTTATAAGGACAATTAAATTCAACATCTAGGAGAGACACGCACATAAGCAAGTGAATTAGAATGGTGCACGGAGCACAACCAACAAGGTTTGGGGAGGTCCAGCTGTATCCCAGAGGAGGTTCCTGGAGGTGGTGGGCAGGGGCTACGGAGATCTTTCTGGAGCAGGCTGATGGCAGAGCCTTGTTTCAAAGATAATT